ACCGGCAGGGGGCCAGCACAAAGAGTTTGAGGATCGTCCGAGCGGCAGATGGTCAGTACCCCGGTGAAAAATCGACAGAGGACGAGAGTCAGACACCTCGGCGCCGAAATGACTGATGAGACGGAAGGGGTTTGGAAATGTCTGGAAGAGATCAAAGTAGCGCCTGTCTGTCTCTGACGAGTGACGAGGGACCTCGAAATGATCCAAGGATCACGATTCTGTGATAACAATATCTTAGGGCGGCGTGAGAACTCAGGCCTGACGAGACTCGTCCGGCTAGTTACATATGAGGAGTATGCTAGAAGAATAACCGTGTCGACGGACCCAACACGTTTGGCCTGTACTCACCAGCTTACTCGTATACTCCTTGATACTCCTCGAGAATTCCTTGACCCGGTAGTCGCCACTGAACAACGATGGGTCTTCGCAGCGCAGAGATCCTCTCAGGACAACCCTCGGACTGCAACAACCACTCCGCCTTGCTATCACGGCCTTTCAACCCACTGACGAGCGTCAAAGGACTGGCTGATAGCCCCCTGTGAATCAGGATCCAGTGATCGGAAAGCCCGTGACCCCGTCGCCATCTGCGAACTGTGGTGTGACACAATCGTCCGGGTCCCGCGCCGGCACCGGACGCCACCACAGACGACCGCCAGGAAACCGGAGCGGAAGTGCGTTTCTTACGCGCAGCCACAGATCGAATTTCAAAAACCGACTTGCGGTTGAGGAAGAGGAAACACTGCGGAGGAAGAGGTGACCTGAACGGATGTCAGTCGGCGGGATAAGAAATCCCACACGAGGGCGCCGAAGATTTTTCCCGGTTTGTCCAGCTCGTGATGGTGAATTGTCCACTTTTCCGACTGCGCGGGGGAACACTGAGGATTACTATGAGCTACTGATCTGATGTTGTGAAATAGCTGACGAAGGCTCTGGCATCACTTCCCACTCAGGAGTGTTAGATTCTGTGCTGGGTCCGATGTAACAGACACCATATAACTTTGGCATTGGTTGGATCGTAAAACCCCGAAGACGCGAGGGTAGCTGACCCTATCCTTCAACCCCAATGCCAGGGCCTGAGATACAAGGGCATTAGAAGACCTTCCGACACACCCATTCGATGCACCACTCAAAACCCTGCTTAGAAACAGTCAAATGCCTATAATGCATGAACGGTTTTGAATTTTAATGGAATGAAAAAGGGCTTTAACATTTCCGTGGTAAACTAAACGAATTACCCCAGGCTGACGAACAGACGGTTGGCTAATGAAACCTGTCCTCCCTGGGGTCTCTGATTTCCTGCAAGACGCCGCCCGCGTCACATACGCTGCCGTCAGGTACACAGTGTAGCAGCCGGCAGCCATGGCGCGATACCGCGCCGAGTTCGCACACGCAGCGCCGTTATCGGGGGCCGCGCCGATCCGAGTCTCGGTTCGCAGAGTGTTCCGGGAAGATGTGACGCGGTGTCGGCCCTCAACCCGCTATCGGCAGCCGTCGTCACAGACGAGCCACGAGCCGTGAGCCAGCGCCGGCTGCGGCGGTTCCGGTCCGCCGAATTTACCGCCTCCCACTGCACCCCTCTGCCCCCTGTCCCCTCCCCGACCCATGTCATCCGGTCCCTGGCCGGATTCGTCTCTGACAGCGCGGCGAAACCGGCGCAGCGTGGCGAGGAGTGGCGCACTGGTGCGCCGATAGTGTCGCCCTTGTTTACCTTGCGCACTTCTGGCCGGCCGCTGCGGTGGACCCACCGAACTGCTGTTCTGTGCGTCCTACACCGGTTGTCCCAAATTCATGGCTGGCTATCTGTGCGCTCGTTCGGCAACGCCGGCCGGCCGCAGAACAGCGCATATTGTTAAAAGTAGCGGGATAAACGTGGTTAGGTTACAAAACGTGCGAGGCAGTCTGAGGCGACCGAGCTGGTTAGGTGGTTTGATTAATCATGGAAGCTGCAGCTGAGGCAATGTGACTCGGAGTTCCAACGAATGCAGCTGTGACAGTTATGCAGTCATGCAGCTGCAGCCGTGGGGTTCAGGCGGTGCAGCCGCAGCCGCGGTGGCAGCGGCGGTGACAGGGGTAGCGCGGTGCCCGTGGTGCTCTGCACCCATTGCATCGCTCCTGTTCCCATCCGGCTGGCTACTTCCGGCCGGCCCTGGCTCCGAATTCTCTCCCGGTGACCGGAGTGGTGTGGCGGAGCGTCCGGTCACTGTCAGTCCCGGCCGTCAGAGACGGGAGCGGCGGCAGCGGCGGCGGCGGCCCTGGCTGCAGCCGGCGGCACCGCGCGCCCGCGGCCGGCCGACAGCTGGCCCCGCCGGCGGGCAGAGCAGCGGAGCGGCCGGCAGAGCGCCGGAGCGGCGCCCAGTTCACGCACACGCACAGCCCGCCTCTCGGCGTGACCCAAATTCCGTCCATTAACTCGCTGCGTGGCGAGGACTTTCGCCCCGTCTCTGTGCGCTGCGCCGGCCTGGTGTCTCCCATGTGGCCCATGGCCCGGCCGCCGGGCCCGCCGGCGTCCCAGCGAGGTCGTCCGCCGCGCCACACCGCCGCAATGAAAGGGGAAGTGGACGGCGTACACAGAGAAACCCGACAGAGAGTGCAAACAGCACCGAGAGAGAGTGAACGGCGAGGTCCGACGAACGGGGTGGGGAAGGAGGACGAGAGAAGCAGCGGGGGAGCAAGCACGCCTGATAAAGGAAAGGGATTCGAAAAACAGAAGCTTTGTGTAATTTAAGATCACGGAAATTTCATTAAAGCATGGAAGTGAAGATACTATTTTTGACGGACGAATGTAATGTCGTTACCCCTGGCAATTCGAGCAAAATCAGTACAAATGGATGCGAACTTTGAGTCTTTCGATGCATTATATAATAATGATTCACGATGAAGTTTGACCAGAGTGAGCGTGAGAAGTGTATGTCACTTATATAGAAAATTAGTTGACATAAAAAAGAGCCCAAGAGTATGCCATGATACGCATGATTGAATACGTTTTTACAACACTCAGCTTCTACGATGCAATATAACGCATGTAACTCATGTTTTAATGTAGGCCTTAGTTACTTGTCATGGTAATTGACACCCAAAGTAACTACAAAGTTACTTACTTACAAATTACGTGTATATGCAAACAATTGATTGATATAAAATTAGTGTATATAGATTGCAGAATACGGTTTATAAGTAATATACGTCACTGTCACTACCTACTTGAAATCCTCCTAAAAATAAAGAGATATCAGTTTTTTTTAATTTGGTTGTTTACTTTAGTTTGTTTGATCCTGACTTGTAAAATGCATCAGCGAAACCATGAGCATTGAGCAGCTAAGACATTGTTAGATCATCATGAAAATACTCAGCTACATGAAACATAAAACATGTTTACACAAGGTGTATGCTTGACAATTAAGCAAAAAAAAAAAGTTTAATTAAGTACCTATATCTTAAAGTCTTAACAATTTATGTTTACTTATATCAATTAATCACGAATATTTCCGCTTAACCATTTGATTGATTGCACTTCTGTCTCCTTACAATTTACATTGTAAAGACGACAAGCCTTGCAAAAAGAAAAAGAAATGATAGCAGTTCCTTCAGTCACGCCACAGCGGCATGCGGTAAAATATTTTGGCACAAGCCACAGCTTGCTCGTGCGAAAACAAGAATTACAAGCCTGCAACAGTTTTTCGTCTTTAGAGCTAAAACAGTGAGTTCAATTTCAGGAGAAATCATGACATACTCTGGCTGGGGCATCGGTGGTGTTCAAACTTCAAAGTATGCTGCAACGTTTTGCATGATCACACAAAACACCAAACGGAACTTAGCGCTAAAATTATGTCATCTCCAACCAGATCTCCAACAACCCATAAAAGCGTGCCAGTATCTCTAATTTAAATCAGTCGCACGACTCCGACTTTAAAGCATTGCTAGTTTTTGGATAGGTACAGAAAATCAAGGATTCGTCCCCATTACAATAATTGAAAATACGAAAACAGAAGGCGCCATACATCATCGTAGGTGGCATTGCAGTCTTACATGTACGCAACTTCATACATTCTGCACAGATGCATAAAATAAACAAACAAAATAATAAAATTTATGCGGAATTAAGTGGTGTTAGCCTTATAACTGATACCATTTTAAGAGTTTTCAGGTTTTAGATGACCTGGGATCTGTCACGAAAAAAAAATTGCTCGAATATGTTTTGGTTTCCATCAACCTTGTGTATCTAAGGAGTGAGAATCTTTTATTTTATTAAGCCCAATTCAGCTTGTGTAACAAGATGGAACCATGCACCATGAAAGGCCCCAAATAGGCCAGTTATGTGAATATTTCCACATTCATCTTCAGTTACCCATTCTGAAGATAATATCCTTAACATTGCAATAATGGGAGCACCGCTGATTGCAATTACATAGAACGCTTTCACAGTTTGCAAATAAGTGCAACTATGCATAATCATAAACTATGCATAATCATAATCATATGTTGTAGTAATCTTGATGAACTAATACAATCATATGCGGCGCAGTGAGTAGTGCCATTTAGCCGCGAGTCGCCGGGTCCAAAGGGCGGCCGTGAGTATCTGCTTGGTCCTGAATCACGGCAAAGGCATGCATGACTCTGAGTGTGACAGGGTGAATCAGAATCAGGCCATGTTCTGACAAACAGGAGACATCTGCACACCGCCCACTTAAGAGAATCATTTGTGACATGTCAGGATGTGGTGAAGGCTACAATCGCTCGCTTAATTTTCGGGGTAATGATGAGTTATTTGAGAATGAATAATACATGATAAGGTTATAGTAGCACATGATCGTGACACACATGCAGCTTTGTAGGCACATCACTGCACATAAATCTTCCTTGCACATTGCAAGCCCCATTCGCTCTCACATAACCCACTATCACTCATCCAGTTTTGCACTGGTGCCACTCTCTCAATCTCGAAATGTCACAAACGTGCACGGCCACCATCACTCGGCGGATGTAGTATCGGGCGTACTCACATAGCTGACGTAGGCCGTGTGCCGTGCTCTGGCGTGCCGGTTGCCGTGCTGGGCGGCAGCGGCGCGGCGGCGCTGGTGTGCGGCCACCGGCGGACGCGGCGCCTTCCCAACTGATTGGGTGTGTGTGCCGGGTGGCGCCGCACCGCCGCCGCCGCAGCCAACCCGGCCGCCGCCGCCGCCGCCGCCGCCGCCGCCGCCGCCGAGCCGCAGCCAGGGGGCGGTGGCGGCAGCGGCGAGCACGGGTCACGGGTCGGGTCACGGAGGGGTCGGGAAGGGGAGGTGCAAGCTGCTGGTGGGGGTGAGAGGGTTAAACGGAAATGAGTTGGAGGTAATAAAAGAGAGATGCAAATTTTGAGAACCAGGATACATTATCGGGCCTGGAGCCGAGAAATAGAGAAAATATAAAAAGTGAATTATCATCTTCTAAGTCAGTTGGGTTAGTTGTGCGTTCCTTTGTGCAGTCAATCCTCGAATTTTAGTCATAGCTCCTACACTGCCGCATTGGACGGATGTCCGTCGTAGCCCTGCAGCGTAGTACGGCCGGCCGTAGTGAGTTCCCGTCTCAGCCGCGGGGCGGCGCTGTCTATCAGGGACCCACGGTGGCGTGGGATCCACCGTCCCCCGACCCCCGTCCCACCCCCGACTCCACCCGCGCCCGTGCGAGCCCGTTGAGGCGAATCGAGCTGATAGGAGCACGATAGGGCTGAGGTGTCCTACTGAAATGGCCCCTATCAGTAATCAGCATGGCCGCGGCGCGGCGCCGACATTTTGCTAGTCAATTGAACCTGAGTCCATATCGCTTTGTGTGTACCTTCTTGTCCCTCAAACATGCGGACGCTGTGCAGCACGGAGCGTGTATTTCAGTCAATCTCACTAATGTGCTCACATATGTAACTGACGTGCACCAGTCAATCCTTTCCCTAACTACAAACATGAAGCTTACGGGTAGACGAAATATACCGAATTAGGTATCCAATGCATACTATATTGACCTTTATGATACTGGTCTTAAAACATTTATTAAGGCTATGATGATCTATAAATATAGATATAGTCTATTGAATGAGGTAAAGACCGACGCACGCGGCGAATCGCCATCGCGACGCAACTTTCAGTGCCCTGTGGGTACTTGATCAATTTTACGAGTACCATAAAAATTCAATAACTATGATCCAAATTACCTTTGACCTGTGACCTATCAATCGACACCAGGCCAGGCGAGAATAGCGATCCGGCGTATATGTCAGCGTGAGTAAGTACATTATTCGTGCATTTCCAGACTTTTTGTCATTAGAAACGTGTCAATATGTGAAACGATGTTATGATGGGTATCGAAAGGTTTGGTGAAGCCATAAAGCTTTGATGACCTTAGATGAACTTAACTATCTTTTTTACAACGTTAAGGGTAGTTTTGCTTTCGAATTCTAGCATGTGTTTGAACATTTGAAATAATTTTGGTGCCCATGCAACATGTTGCAAAGCTGTCAGTGGTGGTAATTGATTAGTGGTTACCTTCCATGGATAGCCGTCGGAACGCCTGATGATTGATCTGACCTGACTTGAAGTCACCTTTCTAAAATGCATAAATACATTATTCTTAAACAAAACAACTACGATTTTGAAAATCAGGACCCTGAAAAAGCCTCATTTCAAGAAGTTCTAGCAGGTCCCGATTTTTCTGACTTTTTGTTCACTGACCTGACCTGGAAGGTCAACTTATGACTTGAATCCTGAACTAGGGTATAATCTGCCTTCTCTCGTTACGGATAAAACGCTCGTTTTTTTCGACGAAGCTCTAGGTCGATCACGGTCGAACGGATAGGAGAATGTGGCAAGCGAGCGCAGCGAGCGAGTGGATTTCATTAAAAATAACTTATCTTAATGTTTTCCCTTAAAGGAAATAGTTCACTTTCACGAAATTATTTTTTTGCAATGGATTTATGATTTTTTATGTTCAAAATGATCAGCAAAGAAAATAAAACCTTTTTATAACAAAAGATTATTTTCTATATTTTGATATAGGAAGAACTTTTCAGTTTCTGTAAGGCACACGCGATCCAGTATGAAAAGAGCATGGGTCCCGAAAATTCTTCAGAAACTAGAGAAATTATCGCGGCCACCGGCATTTGGGCGATCTGCTCGTGCTTTTGTTACTGGAGCGCCTCTTTCCCCGAGATTGCGCCGGCCGCCTGCCATGGACGAAAAATACACGACTTTGAAATCCGGCTGATCGTGGGAAGATACCGCCGGAGGTCTCGGCTATATGCAGGAATTCACCGGGATGTATAGTATATACCACTGCCTCGATGTATAGGCTATAGCCTGCAAGCTGGCTTTGGTGCAAACTGCAAACATGTCAAACATGGTATAGGGCGGATTGTCGATTGATGTAAGCGAATCAGACGTTCAATTGACAATTTCCGATTCTTATTCGATAATTACGGCCAATTATATTTTATTTTAGGAAGTGTTATTAGGAGCGGAGCAATAAAATCTCATTTCTCCCCTGTCTCTTTACCTATCTCTCAAATCCCTTGCTCACTCATCTTTCCTCTCCATAGGCGGCGGAACGGGGAGGGCACCGGGGCACCGTCCCCCCTTTGATTTTGGCATTTTAACATTAGCCCTATGGGCGTTGCATGGAAAGAATGGGACCAAAAGTTGGCAGTGCCCCCCCCCCCCCTTAATTGAAGGTGTTCCGCCGCTACTGTTCCTCTCTGTAGGCATCAGTCTCCTTGCCGTCCTCCCTGAAGTCTCTGTTAGTCTTTTCCTTTTCCTTCATTAGTCTTATCCTCCTTTCTCTCACCAGTCACCACCCCCCCTCTCTCTCTCTCTCTCTCTCTCTCTCTCTCTCTCTCTCTCTCTCTCTCTCTCTCTCTTTCTCTCTCAGTCTCTCTTTCTCACTCAGTCTCTCTTTCTCTCTCAGTCTCTCTTTCTCTCTCAGTCTCTCTTTCTCTCTCAGTCTCTCTTTCTCTCTCTCTCTCTCTCTCTCTCTCTCTCTCTCTCTCTCTCTCTCTCTCTCTCTCTCTCTCTCTCTCTCTCTCTCTCTCTCTCTCTCTCTCTCTCTCTCTCTCTCTCAGTCTCTCTTTCTCTTTCAGTCTCTGTTTCTCTCTCAGTCTCTCTTTCTCTCTCAGTCTCTCTCTCTCTCTCTCTCTCTCTCTCTCTCTCTCTCTCTCTCTCTCTCTCTCTCTCTCTCTCTCTCTCTCTCTCTCTCTCTCTCTCTCTCTCTCTCTCTCTCTCTCTCTACCCGTCCGTCTGTCCATCTCTTTGTCCGTCTCTCCGTCCGTCCGTCCGCTCTTCCGTCTCTCAGTCCATCCATCCGTCCGTTTCTCCATTCTCCGTCCGTCCGTCCATCCGTCTCTCCGTATGTTCGTCCGTCCGTCTATCTGTCTCCCCAGACCCCATCCGCCCGCCCGCCCGCCCAAGGCCCTAAAACGAGTCCTCAAATTAATAGGTTAGGGGCATATGCCCCCCGGACAGGAGCCTGAGGGGCATTCAGTACAAGTATGCCTCCCCCATTCAGACTTACACTTCTTACGCCTATAACGAGGAACTAAATAAAAATTGATTAGAAAGCCTTCCTAGTAACTAGGTACTTTTGTGATCAGAGTCGTTTTAGTAACCTCAATTTAGTTGTCATTGCCTTTATTTTGTCTAAAAAATATGTTGCTTCTTACCACAGGGGAGCAATGCCGCTTCAACCCTATTGACCGTATTGCGTAACGACGGCAGTCATATTGCGCAAGCCAGGAATCGGCCGCCGCCTATGCTTGGGAATAGGGACGGTTAGAATACGATTTACCTGTATGGCCGCAGTCAGCGCAGCGTAAGCGGGGGGGGGGGTACACAAGGGGCGCGTGCCGCCTCATTAGATGCATGGTGCCCTATGGGCCCGAGAGGCCATGCAGTGCCAATTAGTGGCCGCTCAGGGTCCAAGCGTGCCTCATTTCGACTGATATAAGACCCGCAGGACTCGTGAGAGCACCTCACGGAGACACGGGCTCCTGAGTCGCCACACATCACACATCTCCATAAAGGCCCCACTCCGACTTCTGATAGCCCTGTGCTGGCCTCTGAGTGCTCTTGCTGACCCATTAAGCGTCAGCTCAGCTCTAATTAGGGTCCTACTCCTGACCCATACCCGCATGGAACGGCTTCACACCAGTGTCTCTGAGGGTCCATAACGGCGCCTGTGAGGGCCTCACACCGGCGCCTCTGAGAGCCCAATACCACCAATCTGAGGGACTAACACCAATGTTTCTGGGTTAACCCAGGAACATTTCTGGGTTAAGGCCCTACATCGGCGGCGGCTCTGAGGGCCCCACACTGGCGCCTCTGAAGGTCTTACACAAGCGCATCTGACGGCTACCTACCTGCAACTCTGTGGGCCCCACACTGGTGACTCTGAGGGCTCCCAGGGAGTCCTCCCATGAGAGCCCTCAGGCGTCGCTGCAGCGACGCCTGAGAGTCCCATGCCGATCTATAAGGACTCCACAGGGCTCCTGAAGATAGGCCGGCAAGTGAGGGCCGGCAAGTGAGGGCCGGCAAGCTAGGCCGGCAAGTGTGACGTCATCTTTGACCTGACCTGAAAATGACCTGAGTAAAAATTATAGACCTTATCCATTTGTACCCTGCACCGTTTACCGCTTGTCGCTATCTTGCTTTATTCTCGAGATCTCGCTGTCGCTCCCGCTCGTAATAATGGACAGGTCATAAAAATTACCTGACCTGAGGTCAACGCAGGGCGATATCCACTTTTTTATTTTCGCATATGAATGACAATTGATAAGGCTTTAATCGTCATCAGACAAAATTACAACTTTCAGTGGGGAAAATATCAAGGTCACTCTTCGAAAAATAGGTCAAAAGGTCACGTGATCAAAATTTTCAAAAATTGAAAATGCGAGATAGCCAAAATGTTTGTTGGCTGATTGTGAGTTAAACCATATAAAGTTTTTATCGTAGAAAACCAATAGTTTCTGAGTTATAGGCCGCCAAACATAGGGCTGCAGCGCGACCTGCTGGAATTGCCCGAGGCTATATCTCGGAAACCGTTGTTCGAAGAAAAAATCCTTGTCACAGCTGGCTTCCCCGCCCATCACAACCCCTTAC